AAATGAAACAAAAAAATTAAAAATTACTAAACTATTTATTAAATTAAACCAATAGCATTGCACAAAAGTTGGGGGATGCAAAATGAGGGTTTAAATGCTTCTTTAAGATATATATATAAAAAAACCCAGATCAACTGTCTTTCTTGTCTTCTTTCTCCACAAAGTGAGCCTGGCTCCGCCGTCGTTTGAGGTGATCGGCGTCTATCTTCTCTCTTCCCCTGCAGCTTACCTGTCAACGGGTCTTACTCTTTCTTCTCCATCTTCAGACTCTACAAAACCCCTCAAATTATTGTGTGCAAATTCATGATTGTCAATGATTTTTGATGGGATTGATTTATTTGATTTTGAAGAAAGTTGCAATTGAGAACCAAGGCCTATAACGAAGGTAGACTAAAAACTAGAGGTGGTATTGATCCATTAAGTGAGTTCTGAGATAGGTCTACGCGGGATAGTATTGAAAACCTACTCCCTTGACAAGAAATGGGACCAAAAAGCTGATTATTGGACAGATCAAGAAGGTTAGAGCATTGCTAGGGGCACTCGCCTCCTGCACTCTCCGGGCAACACTCCTCCTTTCATTGGGCCACGTTATTTTAGTTCAGCAAGAGGTTGCACTTCAGAGCTTAAACAACCTTATGTGGCTCAATGAAAGGGGGAGTGTTGGCCGGAGAGTGCTTAGGCGAGTGCCCCTAGCACTGCTCAGAAGTTAAGTTACGTGACATTTGTAAGTAATAATGGGATTTGACTCCAAAAATTGTTATGTCGGAAGTTCACAAGAGTAAGTTTAGACAACTTTCTTATTGAAGCTGGAATGGAACATTTCAAGTTGTAGCTAAAGAGAACTAAAGAACGTAATGACTTTAGATCTCCTATTGACTTGGGAAATTTCCTTCCCCCACAATCCTCGTGGTTTAATTCCAATTTTTGGATAGGACTGGACCTCGGAAAATCAACACTTGAGTTCTGGGCTTCCTGCACCTAAACGGAGCACCTTGAGGTTTGGAAAGACGAAAATACCACTTGGAAAGTTTCCTCTGAACTCATAAAAATGCAGATCAAGAGTGGTCAAAGAAGAAGAAAGATTCATGAACAAGCAAGGATTAACAGTTGCCATATTTATTCCTTGAAGAACAAGTTTGTTATGAAAAAAGCATCATGGACACTCTTTACAAAATGCCATGCAACCGACTCATCTTCAGTGTCATATATCGTTGAAGAACTCGTAATCATTAAGTCAAGAATTGGGATTGAAGTCCAAGCAAATTTCCACCTTTTGACAAGATACTTGTGCAAACTGCTTCCTTAGTCGAAAGAACAGATAGAATGTGAGTGAGAAGAGCATCAGGTAATGCACTGACCCCATCAGCAAGTCTCCACCTTTTTGACAAGATACTGGTCCTAACGGCTTCTTTAGTTGAAAGAAAAGATCGAATGTGATTGAGAAGTTCATCAGGTAATGCACTGATCCTATCACCAATTTTTTGATGTGATTGAGAAATCCTTTGAGTTGGTCATTGGAATGGGAGCGAAGGACCTAAAGGTAGACGAAGGATGGCTTTGACTCTTTAGGCTTCTTGTCTCGTAGCTGTGGTTTATTTCATATGGCAGGAAAAAAAGGGAAGAGTTTTAAAAACATTAAACGTAGTCTTTTTATGCTCTTAAGAACATTAAAAATTTGAAATTAGATTTTAATTACCATTTCATCTCGTGGTATAGCAAAGCTCTTACTACCAGTTGTATGTGTAATCTTCTGCATTGCTCGACTCTTTTTGCATTTTTCTTCCTTTTTCTATAAAATTTAAGATTATTATCAACACTTGAGTAATCAAACAAACCATAGAATTAAAAGGAAGTTCCATACCTTGCCATCAGCAGATTTCCAGTAGTGTACCAAGTACTGCCAATGATTAGGTAATACATTGCGTGGAACATTTCTAGCATTTTCCTCCTCAGACTTTTCAAGATAATAAAATCTTCCCTTCAACCAGGTTTTATGATCCTTTCACTTCTTACCAACAGCTTTATTCACCCAACTGTTTAGGGTATCTTTGTATGAAATGTATTGCTGCCAAATACAAGTAAAAATAATTTAAAAGTTGCTTCCTCCAGTCTAATGCCTACTATATATTAAACGATACAAGGACAATTTTAATTATAAAAAAAATTTACCTTTATAACAGAAATTTAAAGAACTTTTTTTACACAGAACAATAGCAAAAAAAATTCAATCAGACTACAAAATAGACATTCCTTTTTCCTTTACAATAAAAATTGAAATTCTAACCATTAAAATCTCACCAATCAGACTACAAAATAGACATTCATTCTCAAAAACAAGCAAAAAATAGCACAATAAAAAATGATCCTTCATTTTCTCAGTAGCCAAAAGACTAGTTACTAAAAGAATCAAAAAGAAACAAAATAATGCAAGCTAAGCAAAATTACATATTACCACTTAATCTCCTAAACACTTCAATTCGAATTCAACATAAAAAATAGAAAGAAAAAACTAAAGGTAATTGAAAATAAATTTGAGTTATTGCAAAATTGATAAGAGACCTAAATAATGCAATTCTAAGTTCTCAGAATGATTAACGAAAGAGAGAGGGATATCGAAGTTACAGAGGTTGCTGGACAACGTCCACGACGTCACCGGAGTCCAGTAAAATTACCAGAGAGCAACACCAACCCTAGACTAACTGCCACCAGTCAAAAAAACTGCATTTAATTTAACATGCAATCAGAAATGAGAATGAAATCGGAAATGAGGATAGTCGGAAATGAGAATGAAATCGAGGAAAACCTTCAATTGGAACTTCAGAGAAATTGGAATTGAAATCGGAAATAGCTTGTGGAGGAACTCTTGGAATCGAGGCTGGCTTTTTGGGAAGCCCGTTCCCACCGCGCTCACGGCCCGCCGGCGACTGGTCAAAAACTTGGTCGGATGCGGGATCCCTCGCTTCAGCGACTGGTAGCAGAGACTTTAATAAACTTCAAAAGGAAGTTCAGAAATGGAAATTGAAATTGGAATTTGTAAGGGTAAGTCCAAAGCTTCCCGCTCGAACAGCCAGACAGCTGTTACAATGGACATCCTTGCATCTAAATATATCTCAATCTCCCAATCTCGAAATAACTGCTTGGAGATACATATCAAATCCCGAATATCTTGCTTGGCTCAGTCTCCCGGTCCCGAAATAACTGCCTGGAGATACACATCGGATCCGGATATCTTACTTGACATCTTGATTGGCATGACGCGTGGATTCTTCATCGGAACATATAAATACCTCTCAAGGGTCACGCCAAAAGGTAATTGAAACTAACCCTAAGCTCTTGGTTTCTCCGCTCTAAAGATAGTATCGATTATTGCTGATTTAGGCATCGGAGTGTCTACCCCGAGGATCCACCTCGGGGCTTTGCAGGTCGATCCAGAGCACAGATACGGATTGAAGAAGGACTTTTGGTTTGGTGCAGTTACATTTTGGCGCCGTCTGTGGGAACCTGAACTAAAGGCTCCCTTGTTGCTCTTATCATGGTTAAAACTAGGTCAGCTCGAGGTGGAAACTCGTCTCAACCTGTTGGACGAGGCCAGGTCCCCAGCAACCTTCCACCTCATCCCCCTCCCCCAATGCCGAATGTATTCCCTCGTGTTGACCATACAGAAGGAGGGGATGAAAATCAGCCACACAATTCGGCTCACAACTCAGCCTCCACCGCTAACCAAGACGTAGTTACAACTCAGCTCGTTGCCATGCAACAGCAGTTTGGTGTCTTTCAGCAAGTACTGGCTCAGCTGTTAGTCCGGAACAATCCTGGTGATCCACTCATTAACTTACTTAATCCTGCCCCACCACAACCCCCAGCCCCACTACAAAATCCTGAACAAATTCAACATGCTCCCGCTGTTAGTGAATCTCAGGGCCAATCTCATATTGCACCAGTTTAGCAACCTCCTCATGAGGATGTCACTCGACGTCTAGATAGCTTAGAAAAGCTAGTGGTTGAACAGCGAGGTGTCCCACCTACACACCCTGTGGCTGATTCCGTACCCCACCATCTTAACACCAATATTGTACTGGAACCCTATCCAACTGGTTTCAGAATACCATAGCTTGAAACTTATGATGGGACGAAGGACCCCGATGATCATCTACATGCTTTCTACTCTTGCATGCAGGCCCAGAACGCCTCTGATGCGTTAATGTGCAAAATCTTTCTCTCTACCCTCCGAGGCAATGCTCGAACCTGGTACTACAGTCTGCCTCCGAGGTCAATTAACTCTTACACAGAACTGGCATCTGCTTTTGCCACCAAGTTTTCCAGTAGACGATTGATCAGGAAAACCACTTCCGAGCTGATGCGGGTTAAGTAGAGGGACGGAGAGTCTTTGAAGAATTTTATGAGCAAATTCAATGATGCTGTGCTGGAGGTTAATTCTTTCGACCAAGCTGTGGGAATTACAGCTGTGATCTCGGGTCTCGGCCATGAACGATTCAGAGATAGTCTGCTTAAACATCCTGCCACTACCTTCAGTGAGGTAAATGATAGATCACATCGGAACATATAAATACCCCTCAAGGGCCACGCCAAAAGGTAATTGAAACCAACCCTAAGCTCCTAGTTTCTCCGCTCTAGAGGTAGTCTCGATTATTGCTGATTTAGGCATCGAAGTGTCTACCCCGAGGATCCACCTCGGGGCTTTGCAGGTCGATCCAGAGCACAGATACGGATTGAAGGACTTCTAGTTTGGTGCTGTTACAGAATTAGAAATGCAGCAACTCTTGGAAAAAAGGAGAACAACAATTGTTTTCTGGAAGGTTTGGGAAATGCTTTCTGATTCCCTTCGTTGCCTTTTTTTTTTTTTTT